CGATGGTAATTTATTTGGGAATATATTTCTCGTGGAAATTTTCACGAAACCTAATTTTTGAGAAAATATTGTTAGGGCGCCGAGCACCCTTATCGGTACTTTTTATGAAAAAAGTTAAGGGTGCACTAACAACTACGGCATTTAACTTCGCTTCGTTCATTCAAGATCTTTCGCCTTTGGCTTTAAGTGTTGTGATCGTGACCGATCTATTCCAGACAGTAGGTGAAATTCACGACCTGCGTCAAAGAAAACGAAGAATCCTCTCCCGAATCCGACGATTACCTGGAATGGAACTACAAAGTAACGATCTTCACGACGCCGTTAAAGATATGTCCAATCGGGTTGATGTTCTAGGTATCCGGATTACAAAGTCGACTCAAGTGCGCTCGTGTATATACCATCAATTGTCGAACGAAGGTAGAATGCTGCTGGATAAACTTGAGAGATACACGTGTACCCAACCATGCACTAACTCGTACCAGCATAACCTCAAGACTTTATCGCGAGTTGCGCTTACGGCTAACACAAATATCATTGTACCAAACAATGAAGTATCAAGAACGCACAGGATCAAGTGTTGTTTTCGGGGCAAAGTTGCAGCTGAACCGAATTTATCGAAGCCACGTTTGCTTTCATCTCCGAAAATTGACGATATCTCGTCTAAGTCGAAAACAGTCGGCGGTGGATACTTCAATTGTGCTGCAAGAATCACTCGAGGTGTTGTTTACTTCGGAATGTCTTGTGCTGTCCGAGTACATGGAGGTTATCGTCCCAACGGTCTACGGCATTTTTGTGCTGGTCATGGTTCGCCTTCCGAGCGCCAAATACCACACAGAATTGGCAGGGAAGAAGTTTTTCCGTACTAAAAGCGTCCTAAACGTCCTAACTTGTCCTAATACCTACTGTCATAAATTACGGTATTGGCACAAAACTTCGGCATGGGTTATAGGATCGGTAGGACAGTTAGGACAGTTAGGACAGTTAGGACAAATACGAAAGTTGTAAGGCTACACTACCCATGCCAACGAGAGATATCTTATGGCTTACAGAATGCAGAATGCTACTCAAACGCCATGTATTCCCCGGGGACTTCAACGTCCACAGACCGCGCATGAGCAGGAGCGCTCTGTCGACCATGCTTGATGTCGTCCAGCAATTTTATGTAGGAATGTGCCTCTGCCTTTGCAGCTTCAATGAAGACGAGAATACTTGGATGTGGCGCACCAATGCGAGCAGCAAAATCGCGATTGTACTTCTCCAGCGGGTTATTAGTCCGATTTATCATGCTCACATTGTTGCGCCGCATCTGGCTCACGTTCCACAGCGACGTGTCGAACCTCTTTGTCCACGTTCGCACAAAATACTTCCAGAAAGCGTTCCATTTAGTCTTTTTTTTCGAATTGACGAGTACGTAGAGTAGTGGCACGTATACGTCGACACTAGGATCGTAGACCATAGCAATCAGGCACTGCGAGAAACCTTTTGGTACCACCGAAAAGGTACCATCAATAAAAAGGGTCAGCTGAGGGTACCGTAGAATCCGCAGTAAGTCCGGATGCCCCAAAGCAGAGCATACGCTGTATGCCGGCGGTGGTGAGGCGAGCCATGCTGAATTGTAGGAACGGGCGCGGGTCTGAGTCGCTAATGCTTCGCACCGGTGCAGCCTCGATGGCACGGAAAATGTCGCCACCGGTGGCACCTTGGCGTACGTTTTTGATGATCGTAACACCACTCGGACGCGCAATACCGTAGATAGTTGACGGGTGATGCTTGGTACGGAAACTATCAAAGACGCGCTGCCACAGAACACCAGGTGCAACAGCGAAGTCTTTAATGGCGCGATCTTGCAGCTCCAAAGACATGTCGTGGCGTACGTCTGCGACTTCTTCTAAAATTTCTTGGTCGCAGCGGTGAATATTTTTTTCGATGATAGTGCCCCCCTTCTTGACTACAAGACGTGCTGGACACCCAGTCCGGAACTTCACGCAGCTGAAATAGGTTTTTCCTGTCTCCGGGACGGTGCGCTTCTTGCAGAAGCGGTAGTTCTTGTGCTCCATGGACAAAGTTGTCAAGTGACAATAAAAATTAAAACAGCTATGTGTTTCTGCATGATTGGTTCCCGTTAACTTTTAAAAACCTCAATCCCAAGTTTGACTCAAAATAGGTTTTATGATATGTCCTAAATTTCCGACTAAAATACCGGTTTTTAATTTTGGACAGTATTAGGATTGCAATATTTTTCCGGATTTAGAACCTTTTTAGGATACATTTTGCAATCTATGCCAGTAATTTACGACGTATTTTAGGATTTTGTAGGACAGTTAGGACAGGATTAGTACAGAAAATTCGACACCATTGGCAGGAGTGAGTGGAGCCAACGTCACAGGTGTCGTTTCTCGAATATTTGGGTACGCGTTGATGGAGTTTGGGTCCTTCATCCTTCTCGCAGTGCTCAAAAAGAGATCGTGTGGAATCAATGCACTCTACCAACTGGCTTTTGTATTGGAAACACAAACACTGTTTGTTCAATCGACACTCATGATGTGGATACTGCTGACCTTCACATACCGGGTGGTGCATTTCGGTACGTATTTGGAATCTGTTTTTCTTAGTTGTTGAGATTTTAATATTTGTTCTGAATAGGTTGTGACTTCTCGTTTCAGTTTGGGTGGGTATAAAAGAGATGATGGATTTTAACATTGTAAAGCGTTTTTCTAACCAAAGCTCTAATTTGTAAATAAGTTGCTATTCTTGCACGTTATCTAAAAATCCTCTTTAAAATAGCATTTCTTTTTCGTTCGACTAACAACATTCTAAATTGGGTACACAACAGGAAGTTCCCCCATAAATGAGCTACACATGAAGAAGTCGGTTGAATCAACATCAGCCTCGCCTGCATCGACAAGAAGGAAGCGACTATGTGTCTTCCTCCGATCCAAATTCACAAAGCTGTCAATGCGTGGCTTACGCTACATGTCGAGCATTTCGGTGGCAAATATTCAGTTGAGAGGATGTTGGCGCTCGAAGAGTACACCAAGAAAACACCATTCGCTCGAGTCATACTCGTAATTATTGGCGTCCCACTCCTTGTGATCGCTCTGGTTTCGTGTCAAGAAAGTGTTCCACTTCAAGATCCTGCTGCTGGTTGGGAAGCAAACTACGGATTTTGGGCTCGTGTCGGGTTGGTGGGCGTTGGAATAGGCAATGCAGCTTCAATTCAGATCGGATTTTGGGTCGATGTTCCCTCATTCACGCTGCATCAGATATTGGTGTCTTGCGTGCTAATGGCAGCCGGGTACATTGCTGCTGGAATGATATTCGCACGAATTGGGATATTTCCGGTTCCCTTTTTCATGTTTAGCGTTTCTATCGTCACGACAGTTGTCATTTTGGCATACATGCGACATGTAGTGGGCGCCCAAGGCTTTCGGCAGATGATGGCTCGACGAGAGCAGCTTCACCGGCTTCGAAACGTTGGAACAGTACAGGCTATCATGTTCGTTTCGTATCCAGCGTACCAAATTCTTTTCAATGCAACAAGCCACACTTCGTACGAGATCCCGGTACTCATGATTCTCCCGATCGCCCGACTCGTGTTAAAGCTGGTGCGATTGTGCAGAAGGATGACATGATACCGGTTCAAGTTGTGTTTACGATCGATTTTTTCGATGCCTTTTTTTTCGCTTCGTTTATTCAAGCCCTTTCTCCTTTGACGCTAACTGCAGTAGTGGTGACCGATCTTTTTTTAAACAGCAAGCGAGGTCTACGACCTCCGTCAACGAGCTGGGGGAATTCTATCGCGGATCCGTCAGCTGCGCACTGTGGAACTGAGTAAAACTGCTACTCTTCATGAAGCTGTTAAAGAAATGTGCAACAAAGTTGACGTTCTTGGGTTGCAAATTTCTACGGCAATCCAAGTTCGCTCTTGTATGTATCATCAATTGTCAGAGAAAGGCCGAGCGTTAGTGGATAAATTTGAGAAGTGTCTGTGCACGAGATCATGTGGCGACTTATACCAGTCCAACCTAAAGACGTTATCTAGAGCTGCAATTGTCGCTCCGAGCCCCAAAGTAAGCGCAGATTGTTGTCTTGGCAGTAAAGCTGCGGGAGATCCTGCCTTGACGAGTTCTCCTTTATTCTCGTCTACAAGAACTGGCGACAAATGGTCTGCGGTACAGCAGAAAACCCTCCAGTCGTGTCCGTAAGCAATCGGCGGTGGATACTTCAATGGTGTTGCAAGAATCGCTCGAGGTGTTGTTTACTTCCGAATGTCTTGTGCTGTCCGAGTATATGGAGGTCATCGTCCCAATGGTCTACGGCATATTTGTGCTGGTCATGGCTCGCCTTCCGAGCGCCAAATACCACACAGAATTGGCGGGGGTGAGTGGAGCCAACGCCACAGATGTCGTTTCTCGAATATTTGGGTACGCGTTGATTGAGTTTGGGTCCTTTATCCTTCTCGCAGTGCTCAAAAAGAGATCGTTGCACTCTACCAACTGGCGTTTGTATTGGAAACACAAACACTGTTTATCCAATCGATACTCATGATGTGGATACTGCTGACCTTGACATACCGGGTGGTGCATTTCGGTACGTACTTGGAATCTGTTTTTTTTAGTTGTAGAGATATTAAAATTTGTTTTGAACAGGTTGTGACTTCTCGTTTCAGTTCGAATGGGTAAATTAAGAGCTAAGGTTAAACTCAACCCTGAGACCTTTCATCACCGACAGATTAGAGGATAAGGGTCCCAAAATGCTCAGAATTAGAGTTTCAATGTCTAAACATTTTAGGGTGATCTATGAATACTTCCACAGTCATTTGACAACTCGATGTATGCTTTGTGTCTTTGATCCACTCAACACGACTGACGATAATGCCGACGGCAGCCCACCCTACAAACGCGATGCATGACGTCATAAAGACGCGGATTTCCAGGTTTATCAACGCGTGGTTTGCCTTACAACCTCCACATTTCGGAGGGAAATACTCGATTGAACGAATGCTGGCGTTTGAGGAATACACTCGGAACACATCAGTCGACCGCGTTCTACTTGTTGTCATTGGTGCTCCTCTAGTAATAATCGCTCTATTGCTCGGCCAAGAAAGTATCCCGCTTCAAGATCCAGCTGAAGGGTGGAAAAATAACGTTGGATTCTGGATTCGAGCAGGATTACTCGGGGCTGGAGTAGGTTACGCTGCCGCAATCCAGATCGGCTTTTGGCTGGATGCCCCTCCGTTTTCTCTAAAGCAGATAACTTGCTATTGTGCTTTCATGAGTGTAATTTACGTCGTTGTTGGTATGGTGACGGCGGAATTATGGGTATTTCCGATCCCGTTCTTCATGTTTACTCTGACCACCATAACGACATGTTTTCTTTTGATATACTTCAGAATTATTGTGGGATCTCGTGGATTTCAGCAGATATCGTTGCAACGTGATAATCTTCGTCGGTTGCGCAGGATTGGATCACTGCAAAGCTTCATGTACGTGGCATACCCGGCTTATCAGGTGCTTTTCAGTAAGGCAAACTATACAATGTACGAGATACCCGTTCTCCTG